TGTATATATATGACTGGTGTGTCACTGTACAGTGTAAAGCTTTGTTCATGGCAGCAAACCTACATCCTTTACCTCTGCTGGGAATGAAAGTGGAGGTTATTGGAAGGAAAGTCACATTTTCACATTCCACTGAACCATTTCAATGTCAGACTTCTCTGCTGCATCCTTCACTTTATATATGGTGAAGAAATACATTCTATGTTTTTTGCTTTCCACTTATAGAATGCATCATTTGCATTTTAACACACTCTGCTCAATTGACATATCCAGCAGACGTGCACATTTGTGAGACTCTGCATGTATATACTGCACCAGTATATCTTGCTGTAAAATACAATCTGTACTTCTTTGTCCTGTCTTTGAACATTTTTTTTCCCCCAGCTGATATAATATGCTGGGAGGGTGGTGGGCTACGTTAGGTGCCATTGTGTTGCTTTGGCTGCGGACTGCAAGAAGTTGTGCTTGGCATGAGGCCCAGAAGCAAGGTGAGGACAAACACTCCCAACAAACACTCAATGACATCCACAAATTTATAGACGCTGTAGCCACCATCATCTGGTGGCTACAGATTATGCATTGTTAGTCTGTGTGTGCGTGTTAGTTTGTGTGGGTGGTTGGGTGGGTCGGTAGTAGGGATGAGTGTTGTGACACCTGTGAGCATGTGTTTGAGTGTGTGCACACATGTCTGAGCAGGTCCACCTTTCGTCTGAGCTGAGATTTGGAAAGGCTTCACTTTGCACAGGCTCCTTAATTCTCCCTTAATTCATTTGTGCTCCAGATTCACTTGGCTGCTGGGATAACCTGGGAATGATAATGAAGCGGGAGGGGGAAAAAGAGATAGAATGGGGCAGAGAGAAAGACAGAGAGAGAGAGAGAGTGAGGGACGTGAAAACATCACAGCACAAGGCACCTCCTTCAGTTCCCCCTTTGAATGTGTTCAGAATGGATTTAGGGCTTTTCACTGAGTCTTTTAAGAGAAGATGAATCTTATTAGTGTTGATTGCTAGTCATAGGATGCTTTCTGCCTCGGGAAACCACTTAACTTAACCCTTTCACAGATGCCCACAGACTGCAACATTAGTAGGGTTGGGGTTTGATAGCATTTTATCAAATATGACTCCATGTGTCAATTCCTTTCAAATGCCTTATCTAATGTATTATAATTAGGTACCACACATGAATGTT